TCCCCCCCCCGGGGGGGGGAATTTCTGGGAGTTGAAGTCCACTCATCTTCAAGTGGCCAAGGTTGAGAAACACTGCTCTCGAGGGCCAGGGGTTGCCTCCTCCCCATTCCCTCCTTAGGATTGTGCTGGCTCAGGCAGAGCTAGTAGGATGCCATCTTGGTTTCTGGGGAGAAGGCTGGGACCTTAGGGTGCAGAAGAGCCTCCGAATCATGCTGTCAGAGGAAAGCAGCCACTGTGATCCTGGGAGAAAAGATACATAGCCTGCATGCTGCTGATCCTGTTTTTCTTGCAGAAGGGAATCCCGTGGGGAGAGATGAGAGCCCTCTGCCGATTTCTGAAAGATTCTCACATACAGGAGAGGGCAGATCTGCTCCCTCTTGAAAATGAGAGCAGGACAAGGGCCAGCAGACTGAAATTAAAAGAAAGGAGATCTGCAGTGAGAACAGTCTGTCCAGAACAGAGCTCTTTTCAAATGGGGTGGATGGCCCCTGGCCAGGGAGAACTTAGTGGACTCCTGCATGGAGCAGGCCTTGGCTTTGATGTCCCTTCCAGCTCCTCCGTTTTGTGAGCTGCATATCTTGCCTTGCTGAGGTTTACAAAACAGTAGCAAGCTTTGTGTTTCCAAGAACTTTTCATCTGGCAAGATTGGGGACCTGCAACCTCTTCAGACTTAGAACCTCATTAAATCTTTAAATCTCACAAGGCCTTGGGGATCCCCCCACATCATGTGAGAACACCAAATATCCTGAGATGTGGCAGCCTCATGAGATTCTGGCTGTCATAAAAACATTAACTCGGTGTGTTGGCAGGTGTGTTATGTGGAATGAAGGATGACCCTGTAGCCAACCTCAGGGTGAGATCCAGGTGGAGGGAGATGTGCTATTGGCGGGAAAGTTATTTTTGCATCAGGCTATAATCTTTAACAGAGTGTTAGGCTTGGTGGGTGAGCGAATTAGATCCTGTTAGACAGAAAAAGATGCTGGGTGTCCCCCAAAGCTTGCTGGGGGGACAAAACATAAGCTGATGGTCTTTTATTTTTCAAAACTATAAATCCCAGTTATTAGAATTAAAACTGTCTTTCTATTTTTAGCTCAGGTCATTTGGTGGATGGAAAACAGTGCAGTGTCATACCCATAACTACCAAATATGGGGAATATGGGGAAAGTTTGGTGTTTCATTTTGTTTGGCTTTTAAGGTTGAGGAATGAGAATTCTGGAGGGAGGACAGCGAGATGTAATTCTGCTGTTAGAATCAAGTCATTCTTTTGGAGCTCATGGTTCCTTCAGCCTAAAAGGTGGTCATTTTGAGGTTTGGGTCCTGGATGGTCCAGAAGAACCAGGATCTCTCTCCCTCTGAACCTCAGAAGCAGGGGTTGTTCTTCCTCCTTCAGGTGGGTGGCAAGAGCTCCATCATCCTGACCTTCAAGCAGCTGATAGCCGAAGAGGGCCCGTGGGGCCTGACGAAAGGCCTTTCCGCCCGCATCATCTCGGCCACCCCCTCCACCATTGTCATTGTGGTCGGGTACGAGACCCTGAAGAAGCTGAGCTTGCGTCCAGAGCTGGTGGACTCCCGGCATTGGTAGGGGAACGTGAGGAGAATCTCTTGGACCATTGGCATGGTTGAAACATCACCAAAAAGCAGGAGTGTTTTCTGACAAGGCATTACTGGAGGATACCCACAAACGATTCTGCTTCCAAACAACCTTCCTGACCCAGTATTAATCTAGTCCCATAGTGGGACTGCTGCGTATTGCAAAAAAGGCCCTCCTGTAAGACTTCCTGTGAGTAAAAGCTGGCATGTCTCCTAGTCCCCCTTTTAATTTTTATTTTTTTTAAAAAAATGTTGGTTGAAGCAAAGTCATTTTTTTTCTTCCCCCAAATAGAATTTGATTTTTCTTATTTTGCCAGAATTCGTACATTGGGAGAATAACTTTTGCTCACCTTCTGCTGCTTGGATGCGCCGCCAGGCACAGCCACACCCCCCCCCCCCCCCCC